ATTACAGGCGACAGCCACCATGCCCAGCCCCCGCCGCCTTTTTTTTTTTTGAGATGGAGTTTCGCTCTTGTTGCCCAGGCTGGAGCACAAAGGTACGATCTTGGCTCACTGCAACCTCCGTTCTCCAGGTTCAAGTGATTCTCCCGCCTCAGCCTCCCAAGTATAGTGCCCGCCACCATGCCTGGCTTTTCTTTTTCTTTTTCTTTTTCTTTTTTTTTTTTTGTATTTTTAGTAGAGACGGGGTTTTGCCATGTTAGCCAGGATGGTCTCAATCTCCTGACCTCGTGATCCGCCCACCTCGGTTTCCCAAAGTGCTGAGATTATAGGTGTGAGCCACCAGGCCCGGCCTCTCTTATTGTTTCTGGAATTGTTCTTATCGTTGCAAGCTTCAGGCCTTAGCATTTGTGGTTCCCTTTGCTTGGTACTCCCTGAGCTGTATACACAATGTGACCCTTCAATTTGATCACTTTCAAATGCCACCTCCCTAAGGAGGCATTCCTGTCTATCCTATTCAGAATGGCACTTGTTTCTGTTTACTTTGATATTAGGTTATAACAGCATCTACTTTGGGAGGCTAAGGTGGGTAGATTGCTTGAGCCCAGGAGTTTGAGACCAGCCTGGTCAACATGGTAAAACCCTTCTCTACAAAAAATACAAAAATTAGCCAGGTGGGGTGGCACATGCCTGTACTCCCAGCTACTTGGGAAGCTGAGGCAGGAGGATCTCTTGAGCCCAGAAGGTAGAGGATATAGTGAACCAAGATCAAACCACTGCACTCCAGCCTGGGTGACAGAGCAAAACTCTGTCTCAAAAAAAATTAAAAATAAAAATAAAATAAAGCATCTGTTTACTCCTTGACTCTCTGTCTCATCCACTAGTGTCTTAGGGTAGGAGTTCTTTGTTCACTGCTATATTCCCAAGGCTTTGAGCACCCAGTAGGTGGTGCTCCATGAATACTGATGAATGAAAAAATACATGAATGAATGAATGAGTTATACTTTTTTTCCCTTTAGTCACACAAGAGAAAAAAAGATATCTATTGACAGTTACAGCTCAAGAGAGTCTGTGCTGCTATGAAACAGCTAGAGAACCACAGGACACTGAAAGCATCGTGCTCAGAACCCACCGGTTCAGCGTCCGAGGCTGGATGGGTCTCAGACTGCCCAGCAGTAGTGTACTATACAGGTAGGTCAGCTGTAAGGAAGAAAAAACTGATCCATGAGCAGACACTAAAGAAAACGGTGGGATGAAATCAATACTGGGTTAAGTGTGGAGGTCTGTGAGTTTGAACATATTGTCCCAATAGATTTTAACTAAGCTATTTTCCAGTAGACATTTTTTTCCCATAATGCTTTCTTTTAATGCCTCGACAAGTCGCAAGAGCTTTACTAAATATTGCAACTCTTGGCCAGGCATGGTGGCTCATGTCAGTAATCCCAGCACTTTGGGAGGCCAAGGCAGGCAGCTTGCTTGAGCTCAGGAGTTCCAGACCAGCCTGGGCAATACGGAAAAAACCCCATCTCTTAAAAAAAAAAAAAAAAAAAAAACCCCGGGCATGGTGGTGCACACCTGTAATTCCAGCTACTTGGGAGGCTGAGGTGGGAGGATCACTTGATCCCAGGAGGTTGAGGCTCCAGTGAGCCATGATCATGCCACTGCACTCCAGCCTGGGCAACAGAGCAAGACCTTATTTCAAAAATAAGTAAATATTGCACCTCTCTTTTTTTGGCACTAAGGCAGAAGTACATGGACTGATTTCTCCAACTTTGAGCGATCCCAGATGGCTCTACTTGAACAGAAAAGAAACTGAAAGTTCAATCGTGTATAACCCCTTGTAAACAATCTGGGGGGAAAATGGTTAGGTTCCGGCTGGTGATAGTTTACTTCAATGAGGTCATGTAGCACAGTGAAAAAAACAAATAATTCAACATTAGGGAGACTAGGGATCTGATCCCATTTTTGCCATTGGTTAAACAACAAGCAAGTTTACTCGGCTTGCTGCAGGCTTGCGTCCTCATGCATGAAATGGACTAAACAATCTCCACATTATTAATGCTTTACGACTCTGCTTTCCAAAACTGGAAATGCATTTGAAGACAATACCAGGCCCTTGAAAATGAAGTGGGGAGGGTAACAAACAAGCTGCAACAGAGAATAGTATCAAGCTTTTAAAGAAACAAATTAACACCGAACAGAGGCCCTTATAAGTGTCTACACCCTTGCAGCTTGAATGTCAGCACTGGCTGTACCGACAGAAGACTTGCATGACCTTTTTCTGAAATAAGCCTTCCTCTCCTAGCAACTCAATATCATGGGTACATTTTTCCAGGTACACTAGAGTTGGGTACTGGTCTAGAGCTGCACTGTCCAATATAGTAGCCACAAGCCACATGGGGCTGTTGGGCACTCGGAAATATGGCCAGTTGGAAGTAAGATGTACTGCAAGTGTAACATACACACGGGGATTTGAAGACGGTACAAAAAAAAAAAAAAAAAAAAAAAAAGAGGATATAAAATATTCAGCATTGATATTGACATTGCTATTGATTGAAATAATATTTTGGATGCACTGGATTAAACAGAATGTACTATTAAAATTAACTCCACTCGCTTCTTTATGCATTTGCTAACACGACTACTAGAAAAATTCAGCATACATATGTGGCTTGTATTATATTTCTATTGGACGGTGCTACTCTAGATATCAGAATCTAGAAAGTAACTGAGATTCAAACTCTTCAATGAAGCACTTTTTAAACACTCTACTGGGGAGTTTATTCCACTCACTGCTCTGCTGCCGTCGCGGTCCTGACTTTCCAAGGCCATACCCAGAGCGCGGCACACGTGGCTCTCCCGCAGGCAGGCCTGCACGGCGGGCGGCAGTGCAGGAGGTTACCCTGGGTCGCTGACGCCAGAGGAGGCCAAGCGACCGACCCTACACTTCTGAGCCCCGCGGGAAGTCCCCGGTCGCGGAAACAGGTGGTGCGTCGGCGGTTCGCAGCTGCTGGGCCCGCGCGCCCGCACCCGCCTGGGCGCAGCCGGGGACAGCGACGCGCTTCCTGCCCGGGAAGGGCCCGAGCGCAGGGCCGGCTATAGCGGTCCCGCAGCTGCCTGCTTCGATTTTAGCACTCCCGCTCCCAAGAGGGAGCAACGCGTGCTTCTGTCCCTCTTAGGGCTTGAAATGTAAATTATTCATATCAGGGGAATGTGTGTCTCAAAAACCAAGCTGGACAAGAACTGACGGGTAATCCTCGCCAAATTCTTCTATTTAACCCTCACCATTAAAAGTCTGAAAAATCTCTTGACTGGAGAGATATTCACTCCACAGGTGACCGGGATCACGATCTATGACATAAATGAATCAAATTAACTGATTTCTAAGAGTATTTAGACAGTAGAAAATTATTAATCCTCTTTTTAGTTCAATACTTTGTTCATTCAGCATTTGCAGAACAAAATCTACTTGGATTTATTTAGTGGAAATTATCGTTTAAAACAACAAAGATTTAATCATAGTACATAAAATTTAGTTGCAGTAGGCAAATTATATTTTTAAGCTGAACCCTAAGAAATTGTCCAAAAATATATACAAGTTATACACAGCACTTTTGATTGCTGAATAAATGCATCACATAAAATTTTTAGCAAGAGTGAACGATTTTTTAGATAATTTTTCTCCTGATCTCATAGTGCAGAGTATTCACAAATGGACCTTGTATCTTCTCCAGAAAACGGTCATCCCCAGTTTATTCACCTAGGCACATCTTAGTTCAAAAGAGTTTGGGACGAAGGCTGATCTACAGGACAAAAAGCGTGCTTACCTTGTAGGAAAATAAAATGTAATTGAATAGATAATTTTTAAAGTACATTATTCAAGGAGGAAATAAGCCCTGTAACAGAATCCATAAAACACCATGCTCCATCAGTCTCTTTTTGCTAATAGAATGACCAAGTATTCTCTCCAATTAATTTTAATAGCAAACCACCATTTTCTAAAATGACTTAAATGGGTTCAATCAAGTAGGAGAATGAATCTAAGGGAAACCACTGACTCGGCGTATAAAATGTGCCTTACATCATATTGCATACATCAAACAATGAAAGAATTTAGGTTTCAAATTACAAAAAAAAAAAAAAAAAAAAAAAAAATTACCTTAAGTCTTACCCTCAAGGTAAGATAGGAAAGTGGGAAATGCTGTCTGCTCACTGGCATTCCATAAAATATTCACTGTAATTTCTAGATTTCCAAAATACATCTATGCAGCAGAGGTGGTTTGTCAAGTCTGAGGTTTTCCACCTCCACCCCCATAGCAATGGGGCTGACGTTCACACTCTGCAGGTCCTCATCAGCATTCATGGCACCCCGACAGATAACCCCATGAGACTCTCTCCCTGACTCAAGTAAACACTTCACAATGTAAGAAGGTGAGAAGGACATTTTTACTGAAATAAACCTGAAACCTGCTCTAAATCTATAGAAAAAGTGCAACACTCACAAATACCATTACCACTATTTGTAAGATCCCTCATAAATGACTATATTATAGCTGAGACCTGCAACAGAACTCCCACCACCAAATGTTGTGGTAGTGTAAGGACCATTGTTATTTTCACTTGCAAATATTCCTGAGAGGTCATATTTTAAGCTACTAAAAACTGATATAGGAATAAGGTGACACCCAGCAAGAGAAAAAAACAAGGTAATGCACTCCAGAGAGTAAGGAAGGCTCACGGAAGAGGAGGGTTGTGGTGAAGATCAGAGCCCACGGACGTCCAAAAATGTGACTTGGCTGGGCCTAACAGAGGGGAGCAGCTCTTCTAAAAACAAAATCACCCCCTGGAAATTATGTTGGTTGGTTCCTTGGGACAGCTACCGTTCTTTTTCAAGTTACTTACTTGCTCGTTACTGCCAGTCCCAGCTTTGTTGGGAGACATAAGCATATTTGGGGAATGGAAATAAAGTGCTTGCTGCCACAGACCAGGCCAGCAAGATGAGAAGATAAAGAGTTTCTAGAGTTTTTATTATTCAAAATGAGTTTCATTTCAATTCAGGTACCTGAAAGAAGGTTCTAGTCTGTTACTCTGACACAGCACAAGATCAGTAGTTTATTCTGATGAAGTATTCCACCCAAATGAAAGCATAACATGCAAGTAGTCATTTATTTCAATCACTCCTAATTGAAGGTCCTTATTTCTGGAGAACAGCTAGGCATTTTATTATCCACTCTTTCCATTCCTTAAAGGCTTCCACGAGTTTCGAAAAATTCCCATTATCCTCACGACTGTGTTCTGGAGTTGCTCCAGGTGTGTCAGAAGATTCATCATCAATCCACCTCACCAGTGCCTGGAAAAACAGGAAAGATGCGCATTTCAACAAACCACAGCAAAATACTATCAGGCAAGAGAAGAGCATTGGCTTCTAGATCATAGAGTGACATCTTACCCCACCAAGATGCTGCATTTGATAATGATGGTGTGAATATGAAATAATGCTTATGATATACTGAGTGAAATGGTGCATACCAAATATACACATACCAAAAATACGCACTGAAAAATGATGAAAAAGAAACACACTCATTCTTATACTTTTTTTCTAGCATGATAGGATATTATTTTTTCTCAATTTGCTGAATATTCCACAAGGCATTATATTCATTTGATATGTACGTATATACATAAGTGTACACTAACAGGCATGGGTAGACATATGTTAGTGAAAACACATGTGTAGACATTTCTGCGTAGTCACTTGAATGCACAGTCACACCCATGAGTAGCCACATGAATGTATATTGATGTTTGTGGGCATGTGTGGGCACACATATACACATACTGAGATTAGGTACTTTCCTTCCTCCTTTTTAAAGAAAATCATTTTTTCCTCCTAATGAACATCATGCCTCTGTCCTGTATTTGGAAAGATAAATCCTGTCCACACACTTATAGGGTTTAAAAACTGAACTTTGCCAGACATATCAATATTTATTCTGTTCTGCAAAGTCAAACTCTCTTGCCCTAAATGGAATAGAAACAGAGAAACTTCTTCCACTATTTCTCATAGAACTGTAAGCATAAATCACTCAAAGGCAAGCTAAAGTTTTTAAGAAGGGCATTTCTTCGCATGTTTTTAAACCACAGCTTCCTGCTTATCTTTACACTAATTTCCTCTGATAAATTATAACTCTAGAGAAGGATATAATAGAAATGTCAGTTTGCTACTCAGATAACCACTTACCCCTCTTTACACTGTCCACCCCTCAACTTACTTAATAACTTTCTACAATGCTGAAGCCAACAGCACACTGCAACTTGCGCAAACAGATAGGGCAAAGGTTCAGAGGGCGCCGGTCAGCTTCTTCCAAGTGGTTGGAGCCTTGCATTAGGCATGCCAGCCACTGGCAGTGTCGCAGTCCAAATATGTGTCCGATCTCATGGGTTAAAGTCTGCAAGACAATCATGTCGAGGCTTTATAAGACCACCATCACGTTAAGCTACACGTCTCTTCTTTTTCTTGCTTTTCCAAGAAACACAGGAATCAACTCCCTTAGTATTATCACCGAAACTTCACCCCGTCCAGACCTTCAAAGACTTAATAATCCCTCATCTCCCCAAACGTCTTACTGCCTTTCTGCTATAGACGTCCTCAACCTCAACACCGCTGACATGTCGGACCGACAACACCAGGTTGTGGGAGGCTGTCCTGTGCCCTGCACGATACTTTGCAGCATCCCTGGCTCTACCCACTAGATGCCAACAGAACTCCCTCCCTGATCGTGAAAATCAAAAATGTCTCCAGATATTGCTAATATTCCCTGGATGGCAAAATCACCCCTGGTTGAGAACCCTTAATCTAGACTAGGCTACTCATTGTAATTCAGATTCTGGGGCCCTTCCCCTAGAGATGTTGATTTCAGTAGGTCTGCGAGAAAGGGGGCTTGATGTGCATGCTAATGAGAACATCAGGTGGCAATGACACAGGGGGTAGTTCTAAGAGGCGTAGCTCTCAAACTCCAACAAATAGTTGGGGAGATTAGGAACTGCCAGGATAACTATAGTCGAGGATAGCCTGCAGCCCAGGGCAGGAAGGCCCATGCTCCTAGAGAAGGCAGAGCAGAGGTCCTCCAAAGGCCTGGGGAAGGCAGCTTTGCCCAATGACCACAGTAGCTTGAATAAGTAGGTTACCCATTCACACCAGAATTCAGGAATTACACTAATAAGAGAACACATGGGTACAGCCAAGGCTGCGTGTAACTAGTACAAAAAACTGTCACTGATACCGTAAATTTCAATATGAAGGTATCCATTTACCTTGTTTTATTGATCATTTCAGTCAAGCACTATGCACCAAAATTATACAAACGATACAAAGTCATTTATAATATTACCTTAAAGACTGACAATATACAATTTATGCAACTAAGATTCTCTTTTAAAAAACCGTCCTGTCGGATTTTTTTAGTAACTCACCTTACAGGATCGAAGTAGTAAAACACTAGTTATTTCTGGAATATAACAGTTGTCGAAAATTGAATAGTCACTTGAAGATGTTTTCTTGAGCTTCTTCACTTTGCCTTCATGGCGCATGCTATAAAAATCACTGCCATACCTGGCAAAGCTGAACATCCCCACACCTACAAAAAGAGGACAAGCAGCAACAGAATGAGAGTAAGGTCCCTGAGGAAAGACCAAAGAAAAGATCAAAGAAAGAAGAGCCTGCTAGCCCATCTGGCCAGTGAGTACACCTCTGTGTCACTGTGTCCCCATCATCTGATACACTTATGGTTTGCCACCAAAAAGGAAGATTTTGGTCCCAGATTTCCCTACCAAAATCTTTTGCGGCTATCCACTTTGCCTTGTCCTGTAAAACTTAATGGACTTGAGGTCAAATACTTGAGAAACTGAAGTTTCAGAGAGTCTTTTCCCACAAAAGTAGTCTTTTTCTGAAAGTAGTAAGTACTCCAAATCAAGTACTCAAAAAGGAATCATAAAAAATAATCACATGGGTCAGGCTTGGTGGCTGACGCTTGTAATCCCAGGACTTTGGGAGGCTGAGGCAGGTGGATCACCTCAGGTCAGGAGTTCAAGACCAGCCTAACACGGTGGTGAAACCCTGTCTCTACAAAAATACAAAAATTAGCCGGGCATGATGGTAGGTGCCTATAATCCCAGCTACTCAGGAGGCTGAGGCGGGAAAATGGCTTGAACCCAGGAGGCGGAGTTGCAGTGAGCTGAGATCGCACCATTGCACTCTAGCCTGGCAACACAGCAAGACTCTGTCTCAAAAAAAAAAAGAAAAGAAAAAAGAAAATCACATGAACAATAGGCAGTCATTTCACTCTTTTAAGGACACACTAAACAGATCTGTTACACGTGTGTCTGGAGGGGTTGTTGGCCTTCCCTCACGCAGCACTGACTGAAGACAACTGCCCTGGTGTCTTGAAGACCATGCTTTAAACCACGGCTTTAGACAGAATAACCCCTTCCCCTGCCCCACCCCCACCCCCTTTTTAAAGAACAGCCCAACTCTATTATGTCACTAGTGTCTGCTGACCAGAATAAATACCCTTGTAACTGACTTCCTGTGTTACATTTAGAGTTATATCAACCATCTCTGCAAGCACAGAGAACACGGTTTGCTACATAACTCACTCTACAGGGTACTACTTCATAATTCGACTTGTTTACATGATCACTTTTATTTATGTCTCTCATTCAGTTTTTATTTTAAAGTAATAAATTTTGAAAGAAAATAAACCCATAGTAGGTTTGTTCAATCTAATTTGATTCAAAAACAACTTCCTCACCTCCCTTTACCCAGAAAATGTGGACTGATAATCGAAAATTAGGGTAAACAGCATTCTAGAAGTTAAGAAAACACTAAATCTATTCATGTATCACAAGTAACCCCCTCTGGCCAATCAAGTGTGAGCATATTTCACTACAGTAATACTTTCAGCAAGGACACTTCTTTCTTCCAATAATCCTACAAACAGAAGATTATTTTTTTCATAGTCAATGCGTCCCAATTTAAAAATATGAATCTTTGTAAACTTGGAGAAAACAAGACCACTGTGTTAAGATATTGTCACTGTCTAATCCTGCTACTTTCCTATGTCAATCTTTCATGTGATGTAATATTTAAGAAACTTACAAAAAAAGAATTAAAGTAAAACAGTTTGGAGAAATGTTTCCTGACCTCCTCAAATATGTAAGATAAATTAGCTAGCAATATCTAGATAAATGAAGATATGGTTTTAAAATTATTTTTTTAGCTGGGTGTGGTGACTCATACCTTTAATCAAAGCACTTTGGGAGGCTGAGGCAGGAGGACTGCTTGAGCCCACGAGTTTGAGATGAGCTTGGGCAACACAGGGAGATCCCACCTTGACAAAAAAATAAAATACAATAGCTGGGTGTGGTGGTCCTGTGGTCCCAGCTACTCGGGAGTCTGAGGCAGGAGGATCCCTTCAGCCCAGGAGGTTGAGGTTGCAGTGAGCCATGATCACACCACTGCACTCCAGCCTGGGTGACAGAGGGAGCCCCTGTCTCAAAAGAAAAATAAAAGGTAGATAAAATTATTTTTCAATGTTTCCATCTCTATCAGGTTAGTAATAAAAGAGAAAACTTATGATAAAAAGCTACCTCACACCACCAAAATCAGTAACAGAGTAGTGACCCACGTCTCCAAGAGTGCATGTTGGTAGGGCCATGGGGGGCTACAAGAAACCTCACATAAATGGAGAATAAAGAATAAAGGAATGGGTGGGAAGAGATTCCATAACCCTACAGCCCCCAACTCTAGTAGAAACATTTGTACCAAAAAGTTTACCACCCCCCACAAATCCTAAGGCTAATGTAACACCCAGACAGACCATAAACTGTCAGGACAGTCCCTGTACTCACTCCCCATCCCCAGAACACTAATGAACCGCTCCCCTTGGGGGCCTTTTCCCTTTCAAGTCTGTCTTGGATTCTTGGGGGTGAAGTTAGAGAGGTAAGAGCAAAAGTGAAGGGGAGGAGAGAAGGTAAGTAGGAAGATGACAAAAAAAAAAAAGTTAAAAATATAACCGGTTTCCAGAACCTTTCCCATCCCCAATATCACCATGCAGAGTTCCTAATGAGTCAAGGTTTATTACATATCTCAAATCAAAGATGGAAGTTTTGACTTTTTAAATTAAAAAACAAACAACAATGTTGTCGGATGAGAAAGAAGCATACGCTTAGTCTATGGCTCTTCTATCTATGCAAGATGACTATGAAAAGAATTGAAAAACAATTAGCAAGATTTTCACATCCATTAATGATAGTTCAAGCTGTAATTGCTTTAATTCACCTTGCTACTGAATTACTGACATTTACTAGCTGTTACGCCGAATGCCTATATGTGTGCCAGGCCTATATATGCATTTTTTTTTTGAGACAGGGTCTCACTTTATTGCCCAGGCTGGAATACAGTGGTGTGATCACAGTTCACTGCAGTTTCAACCTCCTGGGCTCAAGTAATCCTCTCACCTCAGCCTCCTGAGTAGCTAGGACTACAGGTATGTGCCACCATGCCCAGCTAATTTAATTTTTTTGTAGACATGTGGTCTATGTTGTCCAGGTTTATACACACTTTTTATGTATAGGCACTTTTATGTAAATTATCTCCAAATCACTCCATGATGTGAGTATTGTTACCTTTAAGGTCATGTATGTAGTGAGTGGCCAACCCGAACCTAGATTATCAGAATCTACCAACAGCACGCTTCCCATTATGGCATAATGTCTCAACTGAAAATACTATACAGTTTTAAATATCAATATGGTTCTTGGTTGGAATTTGTTCCCTTCTTTTAACATCTTCAAATATTCTCAAGTTGAAGAAGCTTCTAACAATGCCAAAAAAGGGAATACCATCTGTCAGAGGCCTGTCCAGAGACAAAATTCCACGAGTCTCTTGGGTAAAGATCAATCATTGTTATTCCCACAATACAGAAGGCACTTTCAGGTTTCTTCTTTTTCAAGAACTTCAGGATGTCCCCTATTTAAAAAGAAATAAATAAATATATGAGTGTATATTATATACATATGCTTCCTTTACTCAGTTCAAAATGCAAAGTTGTACAATTCACCTGCATGAATTTGTAGGTTTTGTGTGTTCTCATTGACTCTAAAGGAACACCTTGTTGCGGAAACAGGAACTGGTTCTAGGAGTTTTGCTCTCAAGCCATAGAAATATGCTTTACAGTAGCCCGTGAGCCATTTAATATATTCTTCACTGATAAGTCTGGTGTTTCCTAGAGAGCCTATAATATGGAAGAACATTTAAAAACAGACTTTAAGATGATTATTCAGTGTTTACCCAGTCTATGAGTAAGAGGATTCAAATCAGAAACAAAACCAACTCTAAATTTTCAATACACCTTTATCATTCATTGGTGTTGCTATGAATTAAAAAGAAACAAAATGTTCTAGGTCAGTTTGGCTACAAAACTTGTACCGTTGCAATGAATATCAAAAATGATCCTAAAACGGCCCATCTGAATCAGACCAATAGCCCAGACTATTCCTGACAACAGCGCCATCGCAAAACCGAACCAAAACCAGCACATTACCAGTATTTACCAATGGACTGTATATAAATGCTGCGTTTGTCTGGAGAGGGTGTCTTTCTGTAAGGATCACTGAAGAACTGTTCAAAGTCTTGGGGGGCCTCAGGGTGGGAGGTGATCCAATCTGATGGAGAATGCAAGGTAATGGGTCCAAAGAGATCACTGGCTGGCTGGAAGGCTTCATTCATTAAACGCTGTTCCCCAGCATCTAATTTCTCATACTGTGACACAAGCACTGGGTTCTTTGAGATGAGAGCTGTTTTTAGGGTCTGTTCAGAGTGCCGTACTATTTGCATCTAACAAAGAAACACAAGTAGTCAAATATAAAAATATATATCCATATTGGGCACTTTACCTATCCTCCATATACAGCTCTGATTTCTCCCTAGAGTGAAATGACTGATTGCTAATGCTTTAGAGTGGTCACACTTAGAGTGGTTTCCTCACATCCAGTCAATTTATTGGGGATCTAAGAAATTAAAAAGAAAATCATGAAATCTATTCCTCCATCTCATATGGAACCCGCTCCCATTACAAAAACGAGTGGTGGCCAGGCGTGGTGGCTCATGCCTGTAATTTCAGCACTTTGGGATAGAAGGACTGCTTGAGTCCAACAGTTTGAGAACAGCTTGGGCAACATGGTGAGACCCTGTCTCTACAAAAAATTTAAAAATTCCCTGGGCATAGTGGTGCACACCTGTGGTCCTAGCTACCAGGGAGGCTGAGGTTGCAGTGAGCCATGATGGTGCCACTGTACTCTAGCCTGGGCAAGAGTCCAAAACAAACAAAAAAACCTCATGGTGACCATAGGAGCAGGACCTCACACCCAATTTCCTTCATTCAGGGAATAATAGTATTAGCTTGGCACGGTGGCTCATGCTTATAATCCCAGCACTTTGGGAGGCCAACGCAGAAGGATTACTTGAGCCTAGGAGTTTGAGATCAGCCTGGGCATCATGGCAAAATCCCATATCTACAAAAAAATTAGCCGGGCATGGTGGTGTGCACTTGTAGTCCCCACTACTTGGAAGGCTAAGGTGGGAGGATCATCTGCACCCAGGAGGTCGAGGCTGCAGTGGGCCGTGATCGTGCCACTGCACTCCAGCCTGGGCAACAGAGACTTTGTCTCAAAAAATAATATTATGAATTGACTCATTAGTGCCACATGAAAAATACTCATCGTTTCTAATGTGACTCAAAGATCTTCAACATCAAATAAAAACAAAACTAATGTAAGCCCTATCATTTCTGCAATTTAACTGCAGGCTGAGAAGCTACAGCTTAGCCACTTAAGTTTACAGCCTCAAAGTCATGTCACATTAGAGAAGACATCAGATGACTAATCAAAAGCCAGACTCACAATGACAGGTTTCTTCCATTCACATCGTTTTCCTATGTAGAGCTTTCATCCTTCCTCTTGAATGGGTCGGATGTTCCGCCACGAGGCTTTTTGAAGTAGACAAGGAAAAAATTGAACATCTCTGTCTGGATCATCTCTGTCATATTTTCTAATTATCTACATTTTGCCAGTTTAATGATAGACAGCTGATGGGAAAACTTAAGCTAATGTCTGTTCTGATTGAACCTCTGAATTCTGGGGTTGAAGAGGCTGGTTGAAATTCCAGATCAAATGTCTCTGTACTCAAAGCTCTGATATGAGCATAGGCTCATCCTCACTCCCACACAACTGGGCGGAAATCTGACTTCTACAGGACAAAATATAAAACAAGATGTACCTTCCTGTAGCCTACCTACCTTGATTAGGAAGGAAGGCTCCCATGGAAGCTTTTATCTTACAAGGACGGACATGTCTGGGCCTGGCCGGAAGTAAGTTGTGGAGTGTGCCTTCATCTTAATATTAACGAAGGCAGTGTGAAAAGTCAGGAGGCCTCCTCTTGCCCCCCAAGCCTAATCTAGGGAAGCTGCGGGAGAAGATAGGCAGGGGGCGCATAATATGGTCACTGCAGTGGGCTGGAGGCCTGGGATGCTTTGGTCCCAAAACCACAACATCCCGGGCAAACCGGGAGGAGTTGGCCACCCTGGCTGGTGGCCTATAGCAACTCGCACTGTGGGCTCTGGTCTGTGCAGGCACAACCCAGTCTCCGGCTGGGGGTGGAGTAGGGATTCCCCGGGTACTCTCGCTTCGCCTCTTCTTCCCCCAGGAGCCTCTGGAAAGGCCTCCCTGGCTCCCCAGAGGCACTCCGCCCGCGCAGTCCCCGCGGCTTCCGCCACGTCCGCCCCTCCTACATCCTCATCCCTCTCCACCGACCGCGACTGGCCCCCGCCTCTACGACCCGGCTGCCCCGCCTAGGGTTCCCCGCCCAGCTCTGACAGCACCCGCGAATCGCCCTGACTCAACAGTCCTCGACCCCACCCACCCGCGACTGCTCTCACGCGCGTGCGCACCGCGTCTCTTCGCGCTACGCCGCGCCACGCCCACTGGCACCACGCCCCTTCGCGCCACCCGCCGCACCGCTGCGTCCCTCACGCCCTGTGAGCCCCGCCCCACTCGCGACCCGCTCGCGCCACGCCCCTGAGCGCGAGGCCGCCTGGGCAGGCGCAGAGCTGGAGTTCGGCGGCTGCGGCCGGCCTCTTCCAGAGTCGCAAGGGGGCTACAACCCCCAGCCGTCCGCCCCGTCAGTCGCCAGTTCCCTGTCTGCCCTCGCGGGGGCTCCGCGGCCTGGTTTTCGAGAGCCACAGACGCGCCCGCGTCGTCGGGGTTGCCCGTGTGGGACTGCTTGGCAGGCCGCGGGTTTGAGAGGCGTCCAGGCGTGACGAATGCAACCAGCGTGGCCCCAAATGAGTCGGCGGCCGCCACAGGTTGATGTAGAGCCGCGGCGCTCCCCGGGGCCGTCACCCGCAGGACTTTCCCTTCTTTATTTGTTGGGGGCGGTGGAGGCTGGAACCCAGACGCTCAAGTGTGGGGCGCGTCCTCGTGGCGTCCCTGGCGAAAACCCGGATGCCTGGAGGGGCAGTGAGGTCGGAAAGGCACCGCGGGGCCTGCATTAGGGCTGTGCTAGCTCTGTGGCATCGGGTGAGACGTTCAGCCTCTCTGGGCCTCGCCATTCTCTCTTTCTTTTTCTTTTTCTTTTCTTTTTTGTTTTGTTTTTGAGACGGAGGCTCTCTCTGTTGCCCAGGCCGGAGTGCAGTGGTGCGATCTCAGCTCACTGCAACCTTTGCCTCCTGGGTTCAAGCGATTCTCCTGCCTCAGCCTCTCCAGTAGGTGGGACTAGAGGTGCCCACTATCACCTCCGGCTAATTTTTGTATTTTTAATAGAGATGGGGTTTCACCATGTTGGCCAGGCTGGTCTCGAACTCCTGACCTCAGGTGATCCGCCAGCCTTGCCCTCCTAAAGTGCTGGGATTACAGGCGTGGGCCACCGCGCCCAGCCTAGGGCCTCGCCATTGTCATCTGGAAGATGAGAGGACCCCCTTCGGTCTTGGGAACGTGGGAGCTCAAAGCACGTGGTCCCAGGACACTCCCCTATACAGCCCCTGATGCAGCCCAGCGCCCATCAGGCCTTAGGACACGGCGGATTGCCAGACTTGGTAATGCCACTGAGTGATCGCAGTTACAAATCGCCACCTTACCAGCGTCCCCTCTTCCTTTGAAGTTGGCCTTTAAACAGGCCTCTACTCCCACACCCCCCTTCCTATCCGACTCAGTTCCTTCTTTACCAGTTTATTTCATGATCCGTTGGTCCTAGCAGCTTCCTAAAAGCAGCCCTGGGGAAGCTCAATTCCATTACAAACCTGTTTCCCCAAACCTCCCACTGGTTCACTTCCAAGACCTCACCTTAAGGGACACCCAGCTTCCTTCCCTGGACACTTACTTCCCTCCCACACTTCCCTCAAAAATACTAAGCCCTTGTTTTTATTTTCCAGCTATTGTCCTATCGCTACAAAAGTAACCTCTTACTTATTTAGAGATGGAGTTTCACTCTTGTTGCCCATGCTGGAGTGCAATGGCCCAATCACAATCTCGGCTGGCCACAACCTCTGCCCCCTGGGTTCAAGCGATTCTCCTGCCTCAGCCTCCCTAGTAGCAGGAACTACAGGCGCCCACCACCACGCCTGGCTAATTTTTTGTATTTTTAGTAGAGATGGGGTTCCACCATGTTAGCCAGGATGGTCTCGCTCTCCTGACCTCGTGATCCACCTGCCTCAGCCTCCCAAAGTGTTGGGATTACAGGCGTAAGCCACCGTGCCCGGCCTTTTTTTTTTTTTTTTTTAATAAAGACAGGTTTTCACCCTGTTGCCCAGGCTGGTCTGGGACTCCTGAGCTCAGGTGATAGACCTGCCTCGGTCTCCCACAGTGCTGGAATTGCAGGTGGGAGCCACCACGCCCGGTCTCAGTTCTTTTCAAGTCAAGCCATTTTACCATCCTCTGGATTTTCCTCATCCTCATTCTCCTTCCCAGTCTCCAGGAAAGACAGGCACATTTTCTTGATGACTTCAGCACTTCTAACCCCTTGTTGGCTCTCCTTAGAGGACATTAACTCTGTGTGTTTGAACCTTTCAACTTCGAGGATCTCCTCAGCCCTTCCTTATTTGTTCACCCTTCTGGATCATGAAATCTCCAAATTTGTCTTGAACCCAGTGCCCATATCCATCCTCACCTGAACCCATTCTTTAATAAAATGGATTCACACCATGACTGTTCTCAAAGTTTGAAACCGAGAATACTGATGCGCCACTCTTGCTTCAATGCTTGAGAAGTGTGGGCTTTCTTCCAAGTGCCTTTTGACTGTGCGCCTATCTCCCCGCAGCCTGAGGTGGTGTAGTGCTTGAATCCTAAAACCCTCACTTACTAGCGTGGGACCTGTGCCAGTTACTTGACCTCTTTTTCATCTCTTCACTAGTTTGTAAAACGGAGACAATTACAGCACATCTTTTTTCATTATTATTATTATTTGACGCAAAGTCTCGCTCTGTCACCCACGCTACAGTGCAGTGGTGAGATCCTGGCTCACTACAACCTCTGCCTCCTGGGTTCAAGCGATTCTCGTGCCTCAGTCTTCCGAGTAGCTGGGATTACAGGCACGCACCACCACGCCCGGCTAATTTTTGTATTTTTAGTAGAGATGGGGTTTCACCATGCTGGCCAGCCTGGTCTTGAACTCCTGACCTCAGGTGATCCACCTACCTTGGCCTCCCAAAGTGCAGGGGTTACAGGTGTGAGCCATCGTGCCCCACCTACAGCACATCTTAGCAGAATTTTAGGGATAAAATGAGTCCCTTTGGATATTGTGCCTGTTTTTGACTGAACGGCTGGCTGTCTTCTGACATCCTGAGTGGCTTCTTTAGCTTAGTTGTCACCTCTTCTATAGCCTCATCCTGCCTCATGACAAGACTTCTCTTCTGCCTGTTCATTGCCTTGTGTGTACATAATAATATTGCAGTCATCCTTGTCACAGTGATTATAACCTATTTCTTACATGTCACCCTTACTCAGCTGCGAGATGCTTGAGGGTAAAGACTCTCATACGAGGTGTCTGAAGCATAAAAGGTATACACTAGATTTTCATTCAGTGTTTTTTTTTTTAAGATGGAGTCTCACTCTGTCACCCAGGCTGGAGAGCAGTGGCTATCTCAGCTCACTGCAAGCTCTGCCTGCTGGGTTCATGCCATTTTGCTGCCTCAGCCTCCCGAGTATTTGGGACTACAGGCGTCCGCCACAATGCCTGGCTAATTTTTTTTGTGCGTTTTTAGTAGAGACGGGGTTTCACCATGTTAGCCAGGATGATCTCGATCTCCTGACAGTTTTTTGGTATTCATTAAAAAGAACTTCATTTTGCATTTAAACTGTTTAAATTTCTGGATCATGAACTTTGTACTTGCTCAAAAATTTTAGGAGAGCCTATTTCTGCATAGTCTAATATTTATTTTTTTTAAAAAAACTGACCAGGCATAGTGGCTCATGCCTATGATCCCAGCACTTTGGGAGGCTAAGACAGGAGGATCACTTGAGCCTAGGAGTTCCAGACCAGCCTGGTCAACATCGGGAGACCCCATCTCTAAAAAAAAAACCCAAAGAAACCTGGTGTAGTGACACATGCCTGTAGTCTCAGCTACTCGGGAGGCTGAGGTGGGAGGATGGATTGAGCCTGGGAGGTCGAGGCTGCAGTGAGCCGTGATTCACAGCACTTCAGCCTGGGCAACAGAGTGAGACCCTGTTCAAAAAAATAAACAAATAAACACCTTAGCGCTTGGGGGAGTTAGATTTTGTTGTGTTTTTTTCATTAGAAGAAAAAGACACTCTCCCTTACTAAGATATTTTTGCCTGTTAACTAATATGCAGTTGCAGAATGAACCATAGACTGGCTACATTTCAAAGAGCACTACAAGTTCTGATATTTAGAAACGAGTGAATATGCCAGTGGTCCAACGTTGGAAAAGAAAGTTGGTAACAACATTAGAAGGTGGCAGAAAGCAGGAAAGAAATGTAACATATATGGCAGATGAAGGGTTTTAAAATAACTTTTATGTATCAACACGGAAAAGATAAACACCATGACATAAAAATGAGCAAAAAATATGAACCATATAATCCGAATAGTCCATTAACATTCATGTGTTCGATAAAGTTGAATGAACGCAAATGAAAACCACTCTAATAATTTTATCTTACCTGCTAATTTGGCCAAACGGTTTATTTTGAAATAATTTCAAGCTAACAGAAAAGGTGGCAAAAATAGTATAAAGAATCCCTACCTTCAGGGCCGGGCGCGGTGGCTCACACCTATAATCGCAGCACTATGGGAGGCCGAGGCGGGCGGATCACGAGGTCAGGAGATCCAGACCATCTTTGCTAACACAGCGAAACCCCGTCTCTACTAAAAATATAAAAATCAGCCGGGCGTGGTGGCGGGCGCCTGTAGTCCCAGCTACTCGGGAGGCTGAGGCAGGAGAATGGCGGGAACCCGGGAGGCGGAGCTTGCAGTGAGCCGAGATCTGGCCACCGCCTGGGCGACAGAGTGAGACTCCATCTCAAAAAAAAAAAAAAAGAAAGAAAAGAATCCCTACCTTCTTTTCACCCAGATTCCGCAGTACTTAACATTTTACCTCATTTCTTTATCATTCTCATTCTTTCTGTGTCTTTATCTCTCTCTCTCTCTATGCAAATGTACATTGTTTCCCTGAACTATTTGACAGTAAATTGCAGGCCAGGCCCGGTGGCTCACGCCTGTAATCCCAGCACTCTGGGAGGCTGTGGTGGGTTGATCACTTGAGGTCAGGAGTTCGAGACCAGCCTGGTCAACATGCTGAAACCTGTCTCTACTAAAATTTAGTGGGATGTGGCGTTGCATGCCTGTAATCCCAGCTACTTGGGAGGCTGAGGCAGGAGAATCGCTTGAACCGAGGAGGTGGAGATTGCAGTGAGCTGAGATCATGTCACTGTACTCCAGCCTGGGCAGC